CTAGTGTATCTGAACACATCCAACTGCAGGTTGCAATTTGAAAATAGCCCCCTCCTTACATATAATTACCTGGCCCAGAGGCTAGTACAACAATAGGAAAAGGATATACGGCGTATTATTTTTTTCTCTTCATAGAATCTGCATGGGAGCAAATGCTATGGTACAGTATTATATATATACACACGTACACTAGCCGTCCCCTGCCACACGTTGCTATGGCCCACATGGGGGTTCTGTGTGGGAGGTTTGGCCCAATTCTATCGTTGGTGGGGTTCAGAATGCTCTTTGATTGTAGGTGAACTATAAATCCCAGCAACTACAACTCCCAAATGTCAAGATTCTATTTTCCCCAAACTCCACCAGTGTTCACATTGAGCATATTGAGTATTCGTGTAGAGTTTGGTCCAGATCCATCATTGTTTGAGTCCACAGTGATCTCTGGATGTAGGTGAACTACAACTCCAAAACCAAAGGACACTGCCCACCAAACCCTTCCAGTATTTTCTGTTGGTCATGGGAGAACTGTGTGCCAAGTTTGGTTCAATTCCATTGTTGGTGGGGTTCAGAATGCTCTTTGATTGTAGGTGAACTATAAATCCCAGCAACTACAACTCCCAAATGACAAAATCATATTTTTTTCTGACTGAAGGACATACATTGGGTTGTTAGGCGTCTTGTGTCCAAATTTGGTGTCAATTCGTCCAGTGGTTTATGAGTTCTGTTAATCTCACAAACAAACATTACATTTTTATTTATATAGACTTGCTGCCCCTGCCATGCGTTGCTGTGGCCCAGTCTGTGTATATGTGTATTGTGTGTGTATATATGTGTATATTTGTGTATTGTGTATATGTGTATATATGTAGTTTTGTGCATGCGTTGTAATGGATTTTTTTTTAATTTTTGGCTTTTTAAGTCTCTTCTGCTGTGTTTTGCAGTGTTTTTATGAGTGATGGTCACTTGTTGGCCTGAGAGGTGGCACATTTTGGTGTTATGGAAAATTAAGTAATGAGAAAGTCTGCTTAATAATAATAACAGCAGCAATAATAGTATTAGTAATAATAGAATCCTAGGGTAGGAAGAGACCTCCAAGGGCCATCCAATCCTGCCCCACAATCAAAGCACTCCTGACAGATGGACATTCACTCTCTGCTTAATAATAATAATAATAATAATAATAATAGAATCCTAGGGTAGGAAGGGACCTCCAAGGGCCATCCAATCCTGCCCCACAATCAAAGCACTCCTGACAGATGGACATTCACTCTCTGCTTAATGATAATAATAATAATGTAATCATGTAATAATAACAACAACAATAATAATAGTAATGGAATTCTAGGGTAGGAAGGAACCTCCAGGGGCCATCCAGTACAGCCCTTTTTGCTATAAAGGAGAAACACAAATCAAGGCACTCCTGATAGATGGCCATTTAGCCTCTGATTAAAGAGAAGGAGGAGGCATCTGGGATTTCTAGTTCACCTTCAATCAAACAGCAGTCAGCACTCAGCTGCCCAGGTGGGGGGGGGGGAAGGGGGGTCATTCTCCCTCCTCACACGCTGCCTTTTTGCACCATTTTCAGTGCTGTGCATGCGGGAAGTTTGGGGGGGGGGAGCTCCCTGGCTCAAGAACCAGCAGCTTCCTGACATTGCCAGGCCTTGAGCAGGGGGGGGGGAGGAGGAGGATGCAAGCCCTCTCTGCTTCCGCCTCTACTGGTTAGGCTTTTTAATTCACCTTCAATCAATGAGCATGCTGAACACCACCACTGAGAGAATTGAACAGAAGGGGAAGGTGAGGTAAGGTGGCCTCCTTGGTGCTCCCTTGCCTCATGCCCTGATCCAACAGTGAGGGAAGATGGTAGTTGGTGCCTCTCGCGCTAGCTGTGCCCGCGCGGCAGGGGTGGGGGGAAGAGAATGGGTTTGCACGCATGCGCAGTGTACTCTTTTTGCTTTTTAAAAATTTAAAGGTCTTACTGTTTTTTGGGAGGAATTTTTTTTGAGTGCAGGACATAGATTGCTCTGAATGCTGTCTTGTGTCCAAATTTGGTTTCAATTTTCCCAGCGGTTTTTGAGTTCTGTGAATACCACAAACAAACATTACATTTTTATTTATATAGATATAGTTTGCTGTGTCATACTGTGTTTTTGTGTCAGAATAATAATAATAATAATAATTTATTTCTACCCCGCCACCATCTCCCCGAAAGGACTTGAGACGGCTCACAGAAGCACTTCAAGGTGCTACATATAAAACAAACAATACATAATTAAACATATACAACAACACATAAGTATATAGACAACTAACATGCAAAAAAGCCCTCATCTAATAAAATTATATGGATGTCACTCTTTTTTTTCTTTTTTTTTTTACTTTCTAGAACCTTACTGATTTCTGATTTCTTTGATTAGGACTCCTTCCTAAAAGATGGAAGCTTTACAGACCTGTGCTTGTTCTGGACCAGGAAGAGATTTGGGTGCCCAAAACTGCCTAAATGGAACCTTCCTATATTTTGCCTACGGTAGTAACTTGTTGCGGGAGAGGATAATGTTAAGAAACCCGTCTGTGGCTTTTCTCACACTGGCACATCTTCTGGTTGGTATTGCATTTTGATTTTTTAAAAAAAAAATCAGACATTTTTAGGATGAAGTTGGGGCTCTTGTATGTAGCAGATGTGTTGTATGACACCCTTTGTTTCTACCAAATTTCTTTCTGAGTTTTTTTTAATGCAGAAAGTCATTAACATGGTATAGCTTTTTCCATCTGGCATTTAGGCATCAACACCACTGAAAAAAATTCTAATGTAAACATTTAAAATATGGGGCTTGCATGAGCTGTTGGATCTTGGAATTATGGCTCATTTCAACTTGAAATCAGTTTCTTTTCCTGCTCTTAGTTTTTTTCTATCTCTTTGAAGTTTGTCTTTAAATGAATTTTTAAACGTAGACATATGTTTAAAGAATAACATTTCTTTTCCCAGTTTTGTGGATTTAATGAGCAAACTTATAAATTAATTGTATTATGTTAGTGCCAAGAAGTCTATAAATGGTGGTTAATCATTTTTCTGTTTTAATTCATAGGATTATAAACTTGCTTTTGGCTCTTATCAAGGCAAACCAAGTTCGTCTTGGCATGGAAGTACAGCAACTATTGTTTGTTCTCCGAGCGATGAAGTGTGGGGAATCATATGGAAAATGAACACTAGTGATTTATGTTCTCTTGATCAGTGAGTGACCTTATTCTGTGGCCTTTTCTCAGTTTATTGGGGCGCTGTTGGGATTTCGTTCTGAATGCTTCATTGGGCAGTGAAAATACTTTGCCAAAACTATTAGCAAACTGAAAAGGAAGATCAAACTTTTTATTTGTAATGTCATTTATGATTTATGTCAATTGTATCCCAAGGTTTTCTTAGCAAGATATTATTTTGGAGGTGCTTTGCCTCTGTGGATGAGAGAATGTGACTTGCCCAAGATCACCCAAGGATTTAAAACACGTTCTCCAAAGTTCTAGTGCAATACCTAAACCATTATTCCATGTTGGATGGCTGTGTAATACGAGGGTTATCCAAAACATAAAGTTAGAAGGCACGTAGCTCTTGAGGGGAATTTTTGTGGGAGAAGTTGGTATCATTGCCATGTAGCGGGAAGCCAGAGGAAGTGAATGAGCAGTGCCAGTCGTCAGTAGCTCATCAACTGGCATTGTGGTGAAGGTTAGAGATGAGCGTCCTCATTCTGTTTCCCTCCAATTGCGATGTTCACGCTGTACAAGGGATATCCAGAAAGTAAGGTTACAAGATTTTTTTAAAAAATACAAAAAAATGAATATATTTGAATAAAACTTGCATGGATTATAGCATATTATTAAATTATTTTTCCACATAATCACCATTCAGTTCAATACATTTTGTCACCTGTGGGACGAGTTTTTGATGCCTGTGTCTTAGAAGTTTCCCACGACCTTTTAAAGCCACGTCATCAGTCACAACGGAGAGCCATCCACTTCTGTCTTCATCGAGAATTTCCGTCCTTCCGCAATTGAAATTCTGTATACATTTTGTCACATGCTGTCTTGAGATTACGTCCTCTCTATAAACTGAAATGATCTTACGATGCATTGCAGCTGTGTTCATGCCCTTAGCATTTAGGTGGCAAATTACAGCGTAAACTTCACACTTGGAGAGAAATGGAATGAGGACATTCATCTCTAACCTTTACTACAATGCCAGTCAATGAGCTACTGACGACTGGCACTGCTCGTTCGCTTCCGGCAGCTTCCTGCTACACGCAGTGAAACCAACTTCTCCCGCGAAAATTCCTTGCAAGAGCTACGTGCTTTGTATCCTTACTTTCTGGAAACCCTCGGATAATGTCAATATATGACATCAAATTGACACAGTGGAAGTTATAGGTCATCTAAATACATTTCTCCACTTATACAATGGGTCCTCAAACTAAGGCTCATGGACCAAATGCAGGCCTCAAAGGTCATTTATCTGGCCCCTACCCTACACTATAGACTTGGAGTTGTCCTAAATCTGAAACGACTTGAAGACGCACAACAACAACAATTCTAATTAACTTGACCATCTGGTTGAAGAACAGTACAGTTGGACCCAAAATGTGTAGCTGGAAAAAAAATGAAGACAGAAAGCAGGGGGGAGCTATAGTTATGTAAATGCACTTATTAGAAGCTTAAAAGTTAGGAAGTGTCAGTGAAGGCATGTAACAGAAATTATGTAGCAGGTAGAGTTTGCATATAATTGTGACATTTAAAGCAAATCAGCTAAATCAGATCACAACAATCATTTCTCCATCATCAAGCCAGGTAAAGCTTTGTTGCTTCCTTTTAAATACTTTTATAACACACCTGTTGTCAAACCTTAGACCTGCCTCACACTATTCTAGAGCTTTCTAAACCATTGGTTGCGGCTCCAGTGTGTCAGATAAATGTAACAAGTCTATGTGAAATAAGCAATAAATCCTATATTTAAATAATATATACAATTGAAAGTTTTTCATGAGATATGTTGTGTCCCCATTCATTTCATCATTAGAACATATGCATGTGTCTGTAATTCTTTGAAGGGTTGCTTTAACCTTTGGTTGGCTAGTAAATGCGGCCCCCAGTGGTGCAGCAGGTTAAAGCGCTGAGCTGCTGAACTTGCTGACCGAAAGGTCGGAGGTTCAAGTCTGGAGAGTGGGGTGAGCTCCCACTGTTAGCCCCCGCTTCTGCCAAACTAGCCGTTTGAAAACATGCAAATGTGAATAGATCTACAGGTACTGCTTCAGCAGGAAGGTAACAGCTCTCCATGCAGTCATGCTGGCCACATGGTGTTGGAGGTGTCTATGGACAACGCCAGCTCTTCAGCTTAGAAATAGAGATGAGCACCACTCCCAGAGTCGGACACATCTAGACTTAATGTCAAGGGGAAAACTTTACCTTTACGTTGCTTGTAAAACTGAATTACTGTGTCATGAAATGATGCATGTCTAAAAAGTGTGTCACCAACTGGAAATGTTTGGAAAGCTCTGCAGTTTGTTATCTCCTGCAGCCAATAAAGGACAGCTGATGTGAAGTCAAATTTGTGGCAGCTCAAATTGGATGAGACAGCAGAAATAGATGGCTTTGTCATTGAACTTCGTCATTGGTCATTACTGTATCCCTGCCGTACAATATCAAGCATCTGTGAAGAAATTGACATGTGTATAAGCTAAAAACAAAGCATGCTTTGTGCTTAGCTTTTTTTCCCCCTAGATGTAATTATCTGACCTATCAGTGAAAGAATCTGCTTAAATAAACCCCACTATTAAGACTTGGGCAGTTATCATAAATTAATTCACGCTGTATTTGCAAATGCTCCCTATTCTGAGAATTCTCCAAGGGCATGCCCACATAAAACCACAGATCGTGAAACCATGTTGTGGTGTAAAGCAGCAGATAATTTGGTACTTGCTTCCTTTCAAGAAGATACTTGAAAGGAAGTGAAAAGTCTTCAGGAAGCCAGAGTTCTTCTTTACAGAAGGGGAAACCTTTACCTTCAGGTAAAGGTAAAGGTTTCCCCTTGACATTAAGTCTAGTTGTGTCCAACTCTGGGAGTGGTGCTCATCTCCATTTTTAATCTGAAGAGCTGGCATTGTCCGTAGACATCTCCAAGGTCATATGACTGGCATGACTGCATGGAGCGCCCTAACCTTCCTGCAGAAGCAGTACCTATTGATCTCACATTTGCATGTTTTTGAACTGCTAGGTTGGCAGAAGCTGGGGCTAACAGTGGGAGCTCACCTTGTTCCCTGGATTTGAACCACCAACCTTTCGGTCAGCAAGTTCAGCAGCTCAGCGGTTTAACCCACTGCACCACCAAAGCACTCTTCTTACTGTATCTTAAATCTTATCAAAAAAGGAACCATCCCTTTCTCTGAGGAAGGTGGCAAAAGGCAAAGGTTTAGTCCATCCAAGGAAAACCTAAAAATACCATCGACCCCCTCTACTATTTTTGCCATAGTGGTGGCCAGGGATGGTTCGCCCTCCAAGGAAACATTGGTGCTTTCCTTGTCTTGGTGGAACAAACCTTGACTTATACACAAACCATATCAAAATCCATTATTTTGGCCTCAAATCCAATAATATTGGTCTCAAAATATAGACGCCGACTTGTATATGAAATCAGCTTATATATGAGTTTATATACAGTAGTTATATTGATCAATTTACTTCTCTCTGTGTATTTTTTTATTTTGTTGGGATGATACTGTGTGTGATATGATCACTATGCTTTTCGACAGCTTTAGCAGTGCAGAAATGCTTCTGATCCTAATGCAATTCAAACAAGGAATGAGCAGGACTATTATGTGGCCTAGACTGATGAGCAATTCTCTAGACATGATGTGCAAATTACCACATTATTTTAGACCTCCTTTTGTAGTCCTGTTTAGCTCAATACCATTTTTTTGCAATTTGCAACTCAAAAAGCTCTTAATCTAGAAGATGATGATGATATTGATGATGATGATGATGATGATGATTATTATTATTAGTAGTAGTATTACTACTACTATTTGAAACACAACAAGTTGAGTCCACAGCAAACAAGATCACTCTGCTGGCTGCTGTATTGGATCACACATCAGACACTTTCCCAGTGTCTAGGACTGTGTGATGTATTGGCGAAAAATGTGTGCAGATCCCATTAAGGTGGCCTTCTGCATCTGGCAGATAGTAATTTTGTCAGTGCCAATTGTGTTTAAGTGCAGGCCAACGTCTTTAGGCACTGCACCCAGTATGCCGATCACAACTGGGACCACCTTGACTGGCTTGTGCCAGAGTCTTTGCAGTTTGATCTTTAAATCCTCCTATCATGTCAGCTTTTCCAGTTGTTTCTTTTCAATCCTGCTGTCACCTGGGATTGCAACATCAATGATCCATACTTTGTTTTTTAACACGACTGTGAGGTCAGGAGTATTATGATCCAAAACTCTTGTCAGTCTGAATTCGGAAGTCCCAGAGTAGTTTGACGTGTTCATTTTCTGTAATTTTTTCAGGCTTGTGATCCCACCAGTTCTTTGTCACAGGCAGATGGTATTTGTGGCAATTAATCATCTGAGCAACAGTGTTATGCCTCTGCTTGTAGTCTGTCTGCAGCAGTTTTGCAGCAGCGGAGAGTTGTGATCTATTGTTTCATCTGCTTCCTTAAAGAGTCTACACTTGGGATTATTATTATTATTATTATTATTAATTGTAGCTCGTCCTATCTCCCCAAAGGGACTCAGGGCAGTTTCCAACACATATGGCAAACATTCAAAGCCAGCAAAAGACATTAACAAATTACATCAAAACAATACACATCAAAGAAAATAGAACAGCCATTACTATAAACTTAATACCAAATACAAAGATGAACATTGCCAATATTCCGAGTTTCAAAAACTACTGAAAACGGATACAACACTTCATTATTTATTTTTATGGTTCAGTACTTGATGATGTCTTGCTTTTGAAAAGGCCTCTTTACCTAATAAATTGCTTTTATTTGAAAAACATGTCTTCTATTTCAGACAAGAGGGCGTTGAAAGGGGTATCTATGTCCCAATTGAAGTGACTGTTACATCTCAAGAAGGAAAAGTATTTAAGTGCCGAAGTTACCAAATGGATAATTATGTTTCTGGGCTTCCTTCTCCACATTACAAAAAGGTAAACATAAGAGTTAGACAAGAAATTTGTAACATGTCATGCTAGTGACTTGTCTGAAGCATCTTCCCTTTGAATATGGTATGGATGTAAACAGATAGCTTCTTCTGTGAACTTGTACTTCTTTCAAGACTCAACTTTCTGATAAGAGCTTTGTGAACAAAGTAATAAGCAGTTCAGCCTTTATAGGAGTTTGACGTAAAAGCTGCTGGGAAGTTATCTTGTGATTGGGGGAACTCAGAAGAGGGTGCGCAATATTTGAGACTTCTAAATATTATTTTGTTGTTTCTCATGGCAACTTCCTGCCTATAGGAAGCCAGATTCTGCAGCCATGTATTCAACCAACCTGATTTTTTAAATTACAGGAAAGCAAACTTTAATTTTGCCATTTTAGATAAGGGATATCATTTTAATATGTCATAGTACATAAATGCCCCCCTGGCAGCACAGCGGGTTAAATGGCTGAGCTGCTGAATTTGCTGACCAAAAGGTTGGTGGTTCGAATCAGGGGAGCATGATGAGCTCCCCACTCTTAGGTCACATCTTCTGCCAATCTAGTAGTTCGAAAACATGCAAATATGAGTAGAGCAATAGTTACCGCTTCTTTGGGAAGGTAACAGCACTCCATGCAGTCATGCCGGCCACATCATCTTGGAGGTGTCTTTGGACAACACCGGCTCTTCAGCTTAGATGAGCACCATCCCCCAAGGTCGGACACGACTAGACTTAATGTCAGGGGAAATCTTTACCTTTATATATATAATGGAACTTGAGCCCTTGTGGATTTTGGAATCCGCAGAGGACCTGGAACCATACCACAGGGGGTACCAAGGGTGCATTATTTTTTATCACCAACTAGGCATCCCCTGTCACATGTTGCTGTGGCCCAGTCTGTGTATATGTGTTTTGTGTGTGTATATATGTGTATTTGTGTGTATATATTTGTGTATATGTGTACATATGTGGCTCTGCCCATGCGTTGTAATGTTTTGTTTTTTATTGTTTTTTTTGCTTTTTAAGTCCCTTTCGCTGTGTTTTTCAGTGATTTTATGAGTGATGGTCACTCATTGGCCTGATAGGTATATTGTGTCCAAAAATGGTGTCAATTCGTCCAGTGGTTTTTGAGTTATGTTAATCCCACAAATGAACATTACATTTTTATTTATTTAAGATGGAGCAAGGAATGGTGAATCTTCCCACTTTCCTGTCTTGGGCAGGGTCCATTGTAAAATGGAGAAAACAGAAATGTAGCAACTTCTCTTCCTTTTTCCTTTCTCTAAACTGCTGACTTATTACCCAGGTAGAGGTGAGAAAGTTGCATCCAGACATTTCTGGAAGCAGATATTAATGTAGATATGTTTGAAATATAGAACAAGCTGAACCAGCAAAGCCTGCAAGATCCGGGAAGGCTCCAAATTCCAGAAGTGTTTTTGCTTGTCTGGAATAGTTATTCAACACCTAACTTGCACAAACAGCCTCCAGCATTTGTAGGTAGTGCATGATGCCAGGACTGAATAACTAATATATTTCCCAATTCATGCATTTGAATTCTTCTAGTTTTACAGATTTCATTAAAACCAGTATTCTGAAAACTAGTAACTAGGCTTAGGTTTTTTCTTTCCTTGGTTGCATATTATTGTTCTAACACAAACATGATTCTATTTGGCCACTTTGATTATCATTGAATGGGCTTGCAGCTTCAAAGCCTGGCTGCTTCCTGCCTTGGGGAATCCATTCAGTGCTAATCAAGGTGTCCAAGTGCAACATTTGCACTTTCCTCAAGCAGACAAGAATTCTTTCTCCCACCCTGGACATTCCACAGGTATATAAACCTCACTTGCCTAGTTTTCAACAGACCTCACAACCTCTGAGGATGCCTGCCATAGATGTGGGTGAAACATCAGGAGAGAATGCTTCTGGGACATGGCATCCAGAAATTGAGTTACTGTATTCACTCCATCCAGTTTCCAACTCTTTATTTACACAGATCTAATCTAAGCCTAGGGCCCCCTGGTGGTGCAGTGGTTTAAACCGCTGAGCTTCTGAACTTGCTGACCAAAAAGTCAGCAGTTTGAATCCGGAGAGCAGTGTGAGCTCCCGATGTTAGTCCCAGCTTCTGCCAACCTAGCAGTTCAAAATCACACAAATGTGAGTAGATCAATAGGTACTGCTCCGACGGAAAGGTATCAGTGCTCTGTACAGTCATGCTGGACATATGATCTTGGAGGTATCTAAGCCGGACAATGCCGGCTGTTCAGCTTAGAAATGGAGATGAGCACCAGCACCCGCCAGAGTCTGACTTGACTAAACTTATTGTCAGGGGGAAACTTTAATCTTTTAATCTAAGCATGGCATTTTACACCTGTTTTTATTCCTATAGGTCATTTGTATGGGTGCCAAGCAGAACGGTTTGCCAGTCGACTATCAGAAGAAATTGGATTCTATAGAGACAAACAACTACGAAGGGCCTGTGCCGGTGTTTGATGAAATTAAAGCTGCTCTCAGTGCATCAGAGGCAATAGAATAAATAACAGAAAATAATAAAAAATATTTTAGAAAGTAGTTTTTTTGTTTGTTTGAATTTTCTAATATGAAGATAAAATTATCCTTTTTTTGCACTTGTATTCCTGATATCCTGCTACAAAATATATTGTGTTTATTCGACAGTTGGCTTCTGTCTTCTGCCTCCATAATTTATACAACAGAGCCAAATTGATAGCTCACACATTTTGTTTTACTTTATGAGTCTGTGTACACCAACTCAGTCTGTTGTTGAAAATAGAGCACCAAGCTGGTTTTGTCTTCCTTCTGGATCCTGGTAGGAATTTGCGTTCAGTGGACAGCTGTCTTCTGTTTCCTTTGTCATGGCTAGTATCTTTAGCTTCTGTTTCCACCATTGAGTGCCACCTCCCTGATTTCAGTTCAAAAGTTGGTTAAAAACAATTTTCACCATAAATATTTCAGATATTGGATTAACTATATATTCCCGTGTGCAGAGTGGAATTGTGCCTACTTGCATTTTATCCCTTTAGGAATTTTTTTTGAGACTCAGTATTACACACTAAATCCAGACTCTGAGAAGCTAGTCCCTCAATCAACATTGACATAACACTCCAAAGTGCCAATTCAGGGTGTTTACTATTCTGAGCAAAGGTATGTCCAAAGAGTTAAGGAAGACCGTGAAGGCAGTTCTGTTTGGTGTCTCAGATGAATTGATCATGACTTTTTTATGAATGTATTTTTATTAGTGAATACCATCAAAACATATTGATAACAATTAACACAATAGAAAAAACTATAAGTAAAAAAATGATACAAAAAAATAAAACATCAAACATATTACTGTGATTTTTGTACAGTGAAAGTGGGGGAATATAAATATAAAGAGAAGTATGGAAACAGAGAAGAAAAAGAGAGAGAAACCAAATAAAAATAGTAATATAAAAGTTAAAAAAATAAAAATACATACATAGATACATCATATATTGTTCCTTTTACTTCCAGATCGCATATTGTGATACTGTTTATATTCTTCCTTCTTGATTCCTGTCCACTAATAATAATAATAATCTTTATTTATACCCCGCCACCATCTCCCCGATGGGGACTCGGAGTGGCTTACATGAGGCCAAGTCCAAACAACAAATTACAACAGAGTAGAACCGAACAATAAACAACATCATTACATAAAACATGTGAATACATAACAATATAAAATTACAATAAGCACAAACACAATGACAATGGGCGGACTACATGTAATGATTAAAAGAAATACTAATTAAAAACTCGGGCAAGATAAAAGAAAAGCAGGTATTTGCGGAGGAGGGCTCATTATAGGGGGGGATTGTAGAGTCAAGCTTTCCCACCGGGGGGGGGCACATATACTCCACTTATATATGCTCCTAGGTATATAACTTATGATTGACCCTTAAGACTTCTTTTATTCTATTTTTATAAGCATTTGTAGTTGTTTTTTTTAAAAGAAATTAGTAAACTTATTCCAGTTTGTTTTAATTGAAGTTGAACTGTTTTGAGCAATATTCTGAGTTAATAAATAGTTAATAAATCCATATTCATAATATCTAGGGCTTTCTTTATCCATCCATTCATTGTTGCCGTTTCTTTTAATTTCCAAAAGTGGGCTATGAATTTTGTACAATTCAGATTAGAACTGGATTACTTGCAAGTCTTTTTCTTGAAGAGCTGCTGGGAGATGGGAGAGAATGCCTCTGTTGGATGAGTGGGCTTATTAATAGAAGACCCTCATAAACATATAGCAGATTAACTTATTAGCAACTGTGTGACCCAGCATCAGTAGCCAAAAGTGATAAAAAGAACAAAACCACACAGACCAATGCTATCTCTTCCTTTGGAGGCTTTTCTTTGTAGCAAAATAATATGGTAGTACTATTTACAAGGTTTCCATAACACAAATAAAGTTCTTTATACTTCCTTCTTTGCTTCCACGTTGGGCTTCTTTCTCATGCAGATACACAGCTTTACTCTCACAGAGCTTCCTCTCACACCGAACTTACACAGGAGCTTTGTACTGTAGCTTCACACTGGAGCGTCACGAGGCCTTCAACATGGGGCTTCTCTCAGCAAAGCTTCTCACACCAGGCCTTCTTACACTGAGACCTACCTCACACTGAGGCCTTCCTCATACTGAGGCCTGTTGTGGTTCAGTCAGATGAAGATGAGGGGTTTGGGGGTTCACAGCCTGATGGTTCTGTAGGTGAGCAAACAGGTTTTAGAGTAAAATGAGGGAATGGAGGGGGTTTTGGAGCAAGATGAGAGTGTGAAAATGGAACTGTTTTAGAATCCAACAAGCAGGGAGAGGACAACATTAGCTCATCTGAGAGAGCAGCTGACAGAGATACCAGGCTGATCATGATAGGGCTGAGATTCAGGTGCAGGAAAATCCATGAGAAAAAGAGGCAAAAGCAGGCCTCTCAAGGTCAAAGGAATGTGTTCATGTTTTGCAGTCCTTAAATTAGTGAGATTGTTGTTAGGATTTTAGATCAAGCACCATCGCATTTTCTCCTGACGTTTCGCCTGCATCTATGGCAAGCATCCTCAGAGGTAGTGAGGTCTATTGGAACTAGGAAAATGGGTTTATATATCTGTGGAATGACCTTGCAAAAAGAATCTGTGAACCTCATCTCCTCCAAGATGAACTGAACCACCTCAACTGGGCTCTACAGGCCAGTTGACATCAGACATCAGAAGAGCTGCAAGACCGAAAACAAGCCACGAGAGTAAAGACAACGATCCACCCAGAGGAAAAGTGTTCCTGCCATACATCAAGGGAACCACTGACCACATAGGGAGGCTGATGAGGAAACACAACAGACAAACTATCTACAGACCCACCAAGAAAATCCAACAAATGCTACGTTCAGCAAAGGACAAGAAGGATCCTCTCACTTCTGCAGGAGTCTACCGTATACCATGCAGCTGTGGACAAGTCTACATAGGGACCACCAAACACAACATTGACCAAACACGAATCAAGGAACATGAAAGGCACTGCAGACTAGTTCAACCAGAGAAGTCAGCCATAACAGAGCACCTGATGAACCAGCCTGGACACAGCATATTATTTGAGAACACAGAAATGCTGGACCACTCTCACAAATACCATGTCAGGATACACAGAGAAGCCATTGAAATCCACAAGCATGTGGACAATCTCAACAGAAAGGAGGAGACCATGAAAATGAACAAAATTTGGCTACCAGTATTAAAAAATTCTAAAATTACAACAGCAAAACAACAAAGGGGAAACAAGACCTGGCTGTTCGAACAAGCATTTGATTAAACAGTGTAACTGAACATAGGAATACGGAATAATGGATGATGAGAGTGGATTCTGATTTTACTGTTGAGGCGCTAATGATTGTTATATGGATGTTTAATTATTTTTGTTACAACTGTTTTTAATTGCCCTACACTTGTCTCGTGATGTTTTGTATTGATGTTGTTCACCGCTTTGAGTCGCCTGAGGGCTGAGAAAAGCGGTTTATAAATAAAGTAAATAAATAAATAAATAAATCAGGCACATCTAATCACCTCTCAACAAAAGATTGCCCCAGGCACTGCCAGGCCATCAAATGCTAATCAAGGTGGTCAGTTGAAACATTCACACCTAGCTCCAACACACAAGAGTTCTTTGTCCCACCCTGGTCATTCCACAGATATATAAACCCTTTTTCCTAGTTCCAACAGACCTCACTATCTCTGAGGATGCTTGCCATAGATGCAGGTGAAACATCAGGAGAGAATGCCTCTAGACCATGACCATATAGCCCGTAAAAAACCTACAACAACCCACCAACAATAATATGTTCCATGTTCCAAAGTAGACAAAGCAGACATTCTCTACATTAACACTGACAAAGAAAGAAGTACTGTTTACCCTCAAGCATAAAGAAATTACATATATTAGAAATCAACACTTTCTCATTACTTTATTTTCAAGAGCACCAGACTGGGCCACAGCAACACCTGGCAGGGGGCAGCTAGTGTAATAATAAATGCCTTTCAGGGCGCCTTTTGCAGGAGAGCGTTCTCTGCCTAGGACACTTCCTGCGGCCGCCCTGCAGGGGGCGCTGCGAACTAGACCGCGCGTCCCGTTGGAAAGGCAGCCAGGCGGGCAGGAGGGAGCCTTGGCGCTCTGAGCTCGGGCTCTGGGGGCGGCGGCTCCGGGAGATGCGATCCGGGGCGGGGAGTAAAAGCAGAAGCAGCCCCGCTTTCTCTTCGTGCCCCTTCGGCCCCTTTCGCTTTTCCTTTCTCCTCTTCTGGATCCTTCTGGTAAGTGGGACCGCGATCTTGGGGGGCTGGAAGGGAAGGCGACCCTGTAGCAGAGCCTTACTGGAATCCCAACTTTGTCGGCTTCGTGGGTGCAAAAAAAGTAACTTTTATTCCAAGCCCAATCCCCGGAGGCAGCAGGAGAGAAGAAAGATTCAGGGAAACTCGGAGGAAAAGTTGCTTTTGACCGCCGAAGGGGTAAGAGTGCATCTACATTGGAGAACTACCGCAGTTTGATACCACTGCCATGACTCAATACTGTGGAACCCTAAGAGTCGTCGTTTGGTGATAATGTTTGCACTCTTTAGCAGAGAAAGGTAAAGAACTTGCAAGACGACAAACCCCAGCATTGAGCCTTTGCAGTTAATAGGTGTCAAACCGAGTTAATTCTGCAGTGTAGATGCTCCCCTCGTTCATTAGCCAGAGCTAGAGGAATGCAAAGAAATGATTTGTGTGTGTGTTAAGGGCCTCATCACACTGGAGGAAAAAATCCACTTAAAATCTGGTTTCTACATCCTGCAGAATTCTGGGGTTTGTAGTTTAGGGAGGAGCCTTTAAGACCCTCACTAACTACAAATCCCAGAATTCTGCAGGAGGCAGAAAACGGATTTTAAGTGGATTTTTATTGTCTCTAGTGTGATGGGCAAACTTGGTGTTTTGCTCTACTAGTGTAATAATAAATGCTTTTCAAGGCGCCTTTTGCAGGAGAGTGTTGTTAAAGGCTTTCATGGCCAGAATAGTTGGGTTGTTGTAGGTTTTCCGGGCTGTATGGCCATGTTCCAGAAGCATTCTCTCCTGACGTTTCACCCACATCTATGGCAGGCATGCTCAGAGGTTGTGAGATCTGTTGGAAACTAGGCAAGTGGGGTTTAGATAACTGTGGAATGTCCAGGGTGGGAGAAAGAACTCTTGTCTGTTTGAGGCGATCTTCCTGCCTGGGGGGATCCTTTGTTGGGAGATGTTAGTTCGCCCTGATTGTTTCCTGTCTGGAATGCCCCTGTTTTTGAATGTTTCACTTTGTTTACTGCCCAGATTTTAGAGTTTTTTAAAATACTGGTAGCCAGATTTTAGTCATTTTCATGGTTTTGTTCATTTTCGTGGTTCAACAGAAAGGAGAAAATGATGAAAATGAACAAAATCTGGCTACCAGTGTTTAAAACCTCTAAAATCAGGGCAGTAAAGAAAGAGCAACACTCAAATACAAGGAAATTCTAGACAGGAAACAATCAAGACCAGCTAACACCCCCCAACAAAGAATTCCCTCCAGGCAGGAAGCAGCCAGGCTTTGAAGCTGCAAGGTCATTCAATGCTAATCAAGGTGGCCAATTGCAACATTCACACTTGCCTCAAGCAGGCAAGAGTTCTTTCTCTCACCCTGGAAATTACACAGATATATAAACCTCACTTGCCTAGGTCCCAACAGACCTCACAACCTCTGAGGATGTCTGCCATAGATGTGGGCGAAACGTCAGGAGAGAATGCTTCTGGAATATGGCCATATAGCCATGTCACAGGGTTTGCTTGGCAAGATTTATTAGAGGAGGTTTGTTTCATTTTTGGTTGAGAGAGTGTGACTTGCTTAAGGTCACTTCATGCAGGGCTTCTTACATTTTTCCACTTGTGTCCCCTTTTGGCCCAAGAAATCGGTATGCGAGCATATACGTTAAAACAACATAATTAAAATCATGATATTGTTCTTGTCAAAATATAGAATTGTTCTGAGTCAGCATCTACATCAGTGGTTCCCAACCTTTTTTTTTTTTTTACCAGAGACCACTTTGACCAGAGACCACTCTTCAACATTAGTACCAAAAGGGTTACGAATCGGCTTTTGGTCATCTTTAGATTCAATTTGGTTATTTGGGGGTGCTGATTCGGAAAATTGCATTGCCTATGCCACACCAGCTCAAGTTTCTGATACAGAATATATGCCATCCAGTAGTCGCCATCTGCTTGCTCACAGAAAGACCATATTTTCCATATGGGACCAAGCCTTCAGTCAGTAAAATAATGCAGCACAAGAAATGAATATGAAATAAGTGCAATTACGATTCTGGATTATGTGATTTGATGTTATATTAAGAGGTTGGGAGCCCCCGGTGGTGTAGTGGGTTAAACCACTAAGCTGCTGAATGTGCTGATCGAAAGGTTGGTGGTTCAAATTCAGGAAGCGGGGTGAGCTCCCGCTGTTGGCCCCAGCTTCTGCCATCCTAGCAAAAACATGCAAATGTGAATACATCAATAAGTACCACTCTGGCGGGAAGGTAACGGCACTCCATACAGTCATGCCGGCCACATGACCTTGGAGGCTTCTATGGACAACGCCGGCTCTTCGGCTTAGAAATGGAGATGAGCACCAAGCCCCAGAGTTGGACTTGATTAGACTTAATGTCAAGGGGAAACCTTTACCTCTTCAACAGGTTTTTAATTCTATGTTTTAATTGCTTATTTGTTTATGTTCTGTGTTTAATATTATTTTAATGGTTTAATTTATAGTAATATGTGTTGCACTGAGTCAATTTCTTGCGCAGTAGCAATGTCCAATATGCCCAAAAAACCCAATGCCAAAGACACAGACCAGTCAGAAGAAATAAAACAGTAGAACTTTACTCTTGGTTGCAGAGTTGAAAACAAAACAGCTTGGCACACTTACATAGTCACTGTAAGTAATACAGAATAAATCTTCTGTGTTTTAAATCATAGAGCATAACAAAACAAAACATGGTTACTTCACCATAACCTAAGCTTCTTGCTTCTTCTCTCCAGCGATTCAAACTTCCAACTGCCAGCCGGCTGCAGAAGCCTCAAATTGTTACATTTTAAAAGGTGTGGCCTAGCTAGCATTCTGCAGCTGTAGTTAATCATTAACAAGGCTTTTCTGCAAAGTTTTCTTTAACACACACACTGGGCTCAAAGCAATATACCGTAATAATATGTTATTTTTAAAAAAAGATATTATGCTTTGGGTTTGTATATATTTTGGCACTGAATCTTGTCATTACTTGATGTACACCACTTTGAGTCCCCCCCACCAGGGGTGAGAAAGGCGGTATATAAATATTAGGCCTGGGTAACAACGGAAAAATTTGTTTCTAAAATCGATTTGTAATTGGGGGTTTTTTTGTTTCGATATTTAAAATAATTACAAAATTTTCCCTTAAAAAAGTTCGGTATTTACGAAATTTCGTAAATATTTACGAATCGATTCGTTAAGATGGCGCCCGCGTTGGCGCATGCGCAAAGCATTTACGAAATTTCGTTATTTGTATGCATCGTTAATAACGAATCGATTCGTTAAGATGGCGCACCGCGTTAGCGCATGCGCAAAAGGCATTTACGAAATTTCGTTATTCGTGCTAATTGCACTGTATTATATTATATAGCACTTTGTGTTGGCAAAAGGAGCGCACTGGTTGGAACTACACAAATAATGAGCGAGCACTGTATTATATAGCACTTTGTGTTGGCAAAAGGAGCGCACTGGTTGGAACTACACAAATAATGAGCGAGCACTGTATTATATAGCACTTTGTGTTGGCAAAAGAAGCGCACTGGTTGGAACTACACAAATAATGAGCGAGCACTGTATTATATAGCACTTTGTGTTGGCAAAAGGAGCGCACTGGTTGGAACTACACAAATAATGAGCGAGCACTGTATTATAGCACTTTGTGTTGGCAAAAGGAGCGCACTGGTTGGAACTACACAAATAATGAGCGAGCACTGTATTATAGCACTTTCTGTTGGCAAAAGGAGCGCACTGGTTGGAACTACACAAATGAGCGAGCACTGTATTATAGCACTTTGTGTTGGCAAAAGGAGCGCACTGGTTGGAACTACACAAATGAAAAACGCACACACAGCCACCGAAGACTCCTTTATTTTTTTAGAATATTTTTTGATTTTTTTTAAGAATAAAAGAAAGGTATTTTTCAAAAATATTTAAAAATGGAAACTTAACAAAATGCTCTCCCCGCTGTGGAGCCAACAGCCACAAGACAGGGGGAAACGCACACACAGGCACACAAGATTCTTTCCTTTTTTTAGAATATTTTTTGATTTTTTTAAGAATAAAAGAAAGGTATTTTTCAAAAATATTTAAAAATGGAAAATTAACAAATTAACAAAAACCGCCCTCACTCTCCCAACAACAGAATTAAGGAATTAAGGAATCAATGCAAGGAAATCCAGCTTAGCCAGCCAACCAAGCCAATGCAAGCCAATGCAAGCCGCCCTCCCGGACCTCCCTTCTCCCTCGCCTCCGCAACAATGAGCAAAGCGGCCACGCGGAGCCGCTTTTAAAGGGCTTCCCGGCCAATCAAAATCAGCCACGGTGCACTGCTTGGGTGCTTGGGAGCGCCAGATTGGCTCCCAGGCACCAGCATCCTCCATCCCATTTCCGAAATGGGCGGAAGCTCGTAAAAAGGATGGAGGATGCCGTTTCGTTATTGAAAAACCCTTCCGGGTTTGAAAAAATGTTTTGTATTCATTTTGTAATTGCTAAAAATAACGAATATTTAACGAATTACAAAATTAACGAACGAAACCGCCCAGGCCTAATAAATATAGTAAATAAAAAAATAAATATTTAATAAGCCTTGGCACTACAAGAGGGTATCACAAGACCAGTCGCTCTCGTTGCAATGGTGTAGTAAAGGTGAGGCTGCGGACCATATTTGTCATGAATGACTTTTCAATAACTTTGAAGCATAGGTTCTTTTTATTGCAATTTCCAGTGTGAGAGGGTATATCAGATTACAGAAAACATTTAGACAAAGAATGACATTGGACATACATACATACAGATTCTAAGCAACTACATTGGATTTACAATTACATTGGTTAACAAACAAACAAAGGGGAATTACATTTTCACTCAACATTCACACCACATATGCACGTATTCATCCTCAGGCATTCAAACGTTACCATATCATTTTCTCCCTCCTTGGAGAAGCACCTGTTAGGCCAGACCCTGCTTTCCTGCAGCCTGCAAATGCATC